TATATAATAATAACATATATATATATACAATATATAATAATAACATATATATACAATATATAATAATAACATATATATACAATATAATAATAACATATATATATACAATATATAATAATAATATATATATACAATATATAATAATAACATATATATACAATATATAATAATAACATATATATATACAATATCTAATAATAACATATATATACAATATATAATAACATATATATATACAATATATAATAATAACATATATATACAATATCTAATAATAACATATATATACAATATATAATAATAACATATATATATACAATATATAATAATAACATATATATACAATATATAATAATAACATATATATATACAATATATAATAATAACATATATATATACAATATATAATAATAACATATATATATACAATATAAAATTTGTACTTTTTTATAATTTTCCTATAGCCAATTTTTCTGCAAGCGCTAGATAACAGATATTAACACCCAGATTTAAAGACAAAAGGTGGATAAAACCTAGGTAATGTTTGTTCCGTTATAATGAGTATTCAACTTTTCATCAGTTGTTTTGAGTTACATTTTATGAATTGATACAAAATATGTTTAGGGTTAACAATTTGATTGCCATAATATTTCGTTATTAAAGTTTGGTCCACAAGCGATAAATAAACTCATGCGGACTTAACAACCATTAAATAAATATATACAGAAACCTGATAAAATACACTTGAAGCAAGTTATACAAAAAAAAAAGATTTGAATAAATTGATTAAATCTCATACAGCAGATGTATAAATTATGTTTATTTTTGATTCAATTATTTTATTCACAACTATCCTCGATTCACACACACACAAACTTCTAATTTCACTTGTCTCACTGTGTTGGACTAGAATGTCTGAGGTTGAGTTAGAAACTGTACGTAAACGTATTTTTTATACTAGTTGACAGACCAGACAGTACTGTGATTTGAAGGGTTGGTTCGGCCACACCTATCCGATGTTTTTTGTGTTTTTTTTTTCGTACCGAACATACTCTGTGAATCTTTCTTTAGTTTTCTTTGGCTGTTTAGAGAGAGAGAGAGATCCTTTCATAGATTTCTATAGTCCCTGTATCCTTCTGCCGGTTATTTTCCAGGGAACAAGGAAATGCGCGTGGCTTTTCTCGTGTGGTGCAGATGGTGCGCCTCTGTCGACGTCACAAGCCAACAAAAGCTATACAGTCGTCCAGTGTCAGCCGTAAACTCTAAGGTGTGGTCCGTTTTTGCTAGGCCTAGTTGTATTCACACACTACTACTGTGGCTCTTTTAAAGAGCAGCTACTTCGACAGATGGGGAACGGGAATGGTAACATGTCAGTACCATTACCAGTAGAAACTTCATTCCCACGAAGCAATGTACTTGTACGTCTTTATTCAACACTAAATACGTAAAAACACTTCTGAAATATTCGAAATTCACCTCATATAATCACAGTACACCATATCGGAGAGTGCGCTAGCGCCCTCTATGTAGGGATGGCACGGACGCCCACATTAAAGCAATACAAAAGTCATCCGGATTTACTTCTCAACAGGTCATCAGAAGCTACATATGAACCTGGCATAGTCGCTCTCTCTCTCCGGTGTATATGCTGCTTTTCAAATATCACGTATTTATATATTATATATATAATATTATTACATACATACATATATATATATTATTTGAATACTACAAATATGTTAACATTTAATAATGACCCTTGTAAAATATATACTGTTCGTGAAAGACAAATAACTGAAAAAGTAATTAAACTTAAAGAGGTCAACATTCGCGGGCGAATGCAACATGCCTCCGCCACGTAATCTCAACATGGACAATTTTGACACCAGAAAAAATCACGAAAAACTGTCTATATAATTGCTCGGAACCTGCAAGGAGGTATCTTTGTACCAAATCCCATGTAAATTGGCCGAAATAAGACAGAGTAATTGTCCAAAATCTCTAAAATTATGCTTTTTTGTGGCATGTTCGACCCCCCCCCGTCCCTTTACTTAATAGAAATAGGTAAGTCCAACTTTTTTAGTTGTCAATGTG